GTGTGAGTGTGTTTGCATGTCCATGTGGAGACCAGAGGTCAACTTCAGGTATCTTCTCTAGGTTGCTTTCCACCCCCCCTGTGTTTTGTCAGAGTCTCACTGAACCAGGGCTTGCAGTTGGGGCTCTGCTGTCTTTCGTTTTAATGAGCCTGCAGTCTCATTATTCAGTCCCCCCTCTGTATCTCTCCTCCTCTGGCGCTGGGGTTGCAGGTGTATGCCACCACGCCCAGCTTTTATGTGGGTCCTGGGGAATCGTAGGCCTTCATGCTTACACAGCAAGTGCTTTACCCACTGAGCCATCTCTCTAACTCCACTAGGCAAACATTCTACCATTGGATTGCATTCCCAGCCATTTCGTTTGTTTGTTTGTCTTTAAAAGGTGAAGTGGGGGTGTAACTTGCTAGCAGAGTGCTTGCTTATTATGCCCTGAGGCTATGGGTTTGGTCTCTAGCACATCCAAAACAAAACACACCTGGAGGGACTTATGTTCTCAGACTTTCAAAGACCTTAACACAGAATTCAAAGGCCAAGGGTGCTAACTGTGTCCTTATCTGTGGAAAGTGAGGGAACCTATTTAAAACCAATGTCACCCAATATTTCTCCTTTGGATAGTGAGCAGAAAGCACTGCATGCCTGATACCCCCAAGGCCAGTCTTATCCCTACTACCCCTTGATTTGAGTTTCTACTATTAAAATGTGACTGAAAAACTGCTTACTCCAAAAGAAAACAAATTTTAAAAATGCTTACTTTCATAGGGCATGGTATTGTATACCTATAATTCCATCAGTTCAGATTTCCTCTGAAGCAAGAGGTTAGTAAATTCTAGGACAGTCTGAATTACATAGTGATATTGTGTCATAAACTAACAGGCTTACTCTCTAGCTATTTTCTTTATTTCTGTAATTAGATTTTATTTATTTGTATGTATGTGAGTTTGTGTACATGTGTGTGATATCTGTGTAGGTGCCCACAGAGGCCAGAAAAGTGTTTAATTTACTGGAGCTGGCGTTGCAGGCCTTATGTGAGTGCTAGGAAACTTTCTTGGGTTCTCTGGGAGAGCAGCAAGCACTCTTAACTGCTGAGCCATCTCTTTAGCCTCTCTGGGATTCATCTGGTTATTCATTCATTGTCCTCTGTCATCAGCTTTTTGAGCATGCCTCATTTTGAGAATAGCTCTTAATTCTGGAAGTCATTTATTTAACAAACTCTAGATTAGGTGTATGCATCATAACATATGCAGAAGAAACTTGTAGTAAGATTGATGTTATAAAGGACTTACTAATAAACTTGCTTAGGAAATATTAAATTACAGAAATAATTTAGCTAAAGGAGCATTGCCTCCTGGAAGATAAGTAGTGTACTGACCAGGTTTGTTAGAAACTATTGGAAAATTTTGTACCATAATTGAAGCTTAGGGCTTACTGACTTAAAACCAGCCATTAGGCCCACCCTCATATCAAAGAACATGTTCAGGGATGGCTCAAGGGGGCCAGCACAGGGCCACAACCATCATCAAGGCCTGGTCTGCCATTAAGTCTCCTGAGCTCTTATCAGGAAAAATATAATCCTGCCAACTGGGCAAGATAAACCTGAGTAACAACTCCAGAAAGAACGATGCTGACATACTTTTCATCCTCCCGCCCCTCTCCCCTCTCTTTTTTTCTAACACTGGTGTACTTAAGAAATAATTCTGTCGCTGGGCAGTGGTGGCGGTGTACTTAAGAAATAATTCTGTCGCCGGGCAGTGGTGGCATACACCTTTAATCCCAGCACTCAGGAGGCAGAGCCAGGCGGATCACTGAGTTCGAGGCCAGCCAGAACTACCAAGTGAGCTCCAGGAAAGGTGCAAAGCAACACAGAGAAACCCTGTCTCGAAATACCAAAAAAACAAACAAACAAACAAAAAACCAAGAAATAATTCTGTCAGTATCAAGATATAATTCTGGTAGTATCTTTGCTGTGTCTCCCATCTGTCCAAGTGGCCAGACTTGCAGTCTCTTGTCTGTGTTTAAATTGTTCAAAGTATAACCTGGGGCTGGGACTGAAAGAGATTTAAGTATGACAATGTATGTGGAATATATAAGCCTAAGGTGTATATAAATTAGTAAAATCTTCTATTCGATGCCAGACTCTTGTTACTAGAGAGCTTTTCCTTTATTAATCTCTAGGTATACAGAGTGAATTCTCAGGAGACATAAAAAATGAGTTATCATCTAAAAAATGTACAAGCACTTATAAAAGGTCTTATTTAGCTTTACACTAACTAGAGAAACGCTTCATTGCTGAGCTGTGTCTCTAGTCCTTTTTAAATTTTAATCTTAGTAAATTTCTAGCCTGCCCTTGAATTTACTTTCTGGCCCAGGCAAGCTTTGAACCTGCCATCTTTCTGCCTTCACTTCTTGAGTAGCTAGGATTACACACCTGAACCACCATTATGTCACTTTTAGATGTACACAATATGTACTTTTGATCATACCTACTTCCCTATTACCCTAGCAGATCTCCCACGTTTTGTTTGTTGTTTTTGAGATAGGGTCTTGCTATGTAGCCCTGTCTGGCCTGGAATACACTATGTAGACTAGGCTGGCCTCAAATTTGTAGCAGTCCTCTTGCCTTAGCCTCTTGACTGCTGGGATTACAGCTGTGCACTACCACATCTAGCTTGTTGTTTTGAGGCAGTCCAGCTGGCCTCAGACTCCTATCTTTCTGTGTCAACATTGTGATTTTGGAATTACAGGTGTGTGTAGTCATGTCTTGCAGCTTGACAGTTTTAGAACTTATTAATTTCTTATAACTACCTTGCAGAATTGTTACTACAAAGAGTAGAAACTCAGAGAACTTAAGTAGCTGTTCCCGATACTCAGCTGGTATGTGGTAGAAGCAGGGTTTGCTGCTGGTTGTGAACATTGAAAGCCAGTGTTTTAACCACTGCCACACCCACGTGCTGCTGCCTCTTGTCCTCTGTGTAGCCAGTAGACTTCTCAGTTGACTGGCTGATTTTAGCTTTCATTGAGTGAGGCTCTAGAGATCATCACTCAGCACACCATTTCAGCTTCTTGTGTGTGGTAACAGCACACATGATGGACTACTATGCAGGGAGGATGTCTTGGCATATACCTGCTATTAGATTTGGTGAACTCATTTTCTAGAAACTTTCACGTGGAGAGATTCCATCTTCAGATCATAGAATAATGTAGAATGATAACTGAAATGTGTATCTAAATGAATAGTCATATACTGCATTCATGTAAACAGCAAATGACTGTTGGGTTGGAAAGAATCTACTAGTCAGGAAAATAACACAACTCTGGAAATTTCCGGTATAGATCAAATAATTCAAGGCAGCAGCCTGTTACCTCTTTCCCTCAATCCTGGAAAGTGTCCTTGAGGAGCTGAAATGTCTAGAAAACTTTCCTAGAAATCTAATTGAAGGTTCTTCTGCTAAGTAATCACTGTGTCACTATTATTTCTTTCCTTTTAAATATGACTATGAGGTATGTTATGAATAATTTTTTGCTAACAGTGAAATTTATGAATGATTATGAATTTGTCTTAAATAAGTTTTGTGGAGGATATAGATCACTTGATAGAATGCTTGCCTTGTATGTGTGAGGTTCGGGGTTCGATCCTCAACAAAAATAAAAATTTGATTGGATTAAAGTTCATCCCTGTATATTGGTCTGTATCTGAGAGTCTTTTTAAAAATACTTTTTTATTTTTAATTATGTGTATGTGTGTCTGAGTGTGTTTGTACAGTGCCTGCAGAGGCCAGAAGAGGCTGTCATATCCCCAGGAGCTACAGTTGTGAGTCACCCAACATGGGTGTTTGAATCTGAATTCCGTTCCTTACCAAGAGCAGCATGTGCTCTTAGTTGCTGAGCCATCTCTTCAGCCCCTGGGAGGCTTCTTAGCAAACAAAAAGCTTCATGAGTCTATACGTAGGTGTGTGGCTCTTCCTATGAGACATAGTTGTCCATATGTAAATCAGCCCCTATTTGATGAGAGAACACAGTTGAGGACCCCCTCCTAGGGACTCCTGGTGCCTTGCTTATTAAGGTAGGAAGTGAAAACATAAGTTGGATGTGCAGTTCCTCTGACAGTTCAAGTATAGGCTGCGCTAAGAAATTCACCCCTTTGACTCTCAATCCGTCAGTTGTTCTGTGTGAAACAATAAGAACTTAATATTGGCCGGGCGTTGGTGGCGCACGCCTTTAATCCCAGCACTCGGGAGGCAGAGCCAGGCGGATCTCTGTGAGTTCCTGGGCTACCAAGTGAGCTCCAGGAAAGGCGCAAAGCTACACAGAGAAACCCTGTCTCGAAAAACCAAAAAAAAAAAAAAAAAAAAAAAAAAGAACTTAATATTGTTTTATTCCCCCATTCCTCTTACACTTTCCAAGCAGCATATTTTCTTTCTTTTTTTTTTATTTCTTAATAAATTTAGTCATTTTTCAATTTTATGTGTGTTTTGCCTGTATATGTACCTCTTACATTCCTGGTGCCTGAAGGATTCAGAAGAGGGCATTAGATCCCCAGGAACTGGAGTTCCAGGTGGTTGTGAACCACCAGGAGGGTATTGGGAGTTGAACCCCAGTCCTCTCAAAGGGGGAGCAAGTTCTCTTAGTCACTCGCCAGGCATCTCTCCAGCTCCATCAGCATACATTTTTAGAAGTAGGTGGGACTGCTTAGATTTTTAAATAATCAGTATACAATTGACACACAGATTCTTGTTTGTTTGTTTTTATTTTTTTGAGATAGGGTTTCTCTGTGTAGCCCTGGCTGCCCTGGAACTCACTCTGTAGACCAGACTGTCCTCAAACCCAGAGATCCCCTGCTTCTGTCTCCTGAGTGCTGGGATTAAAGGCATGTGCTACCACCGCCAGTCTGGCACACAGATTCTTGTAACTAAATCTTCTGTTTCAATTGCTATGGTAACTATTGCTATAGAGATGTGAAGACCCTATTGTGACCTCTAGTGTAGGAATGCCCCCAGAGTCACTTAACTTAATTGTCCACCAAGGCCTGATAGGTCTGGCTGCTTCTCCCCAGGCACCAAGTGTTGGGGTGTGCCACCTCCCCCTTTGGGACCACCTAGGTTGCCCTCTTAAAAAAGCAGGCCTTACCAAGGAACAATCATCTTGGATTGCATAACCTAAATGAGCCAAGGTAAGCTTTTGAGGGACAGGAAGTAGCAGCTCTCAATCTTTGTTTGTATGTATGTATGTGTGTGTATGTGCATGTTGGAGGCCAGAGGTCAACACTGAGTATTTTGCTTATTCCTTCCTATTGGTGAAATTATTATGGCCACTCCATGTAGTTAAAAGGGAGGTTTATTTTGTGGGGTAACTTACAAGTGAAGGGATAGTTTACAGGGTCTGGGAAAGGTGTAGCGCAGTCTGGCGGTGTTCTCTAGAGAACTCTGCTCGGTCTACCTCCAGCGTCCAGGGTCCAGGAACCAAGAGAGCCAGTGCTTCTGGATCTCAGGTCTTCAGGGTCCTCTCTTGGCCCCGCCTTGTAGGCGTGACAGTTACCGAGGCCTCTGGGGGTTGGAACTTGCAGGTCAAAGCTGGAATGGCTGCCCACTGCACTTCTCCACCTTAGTTGTGTTTTGTTTTTATTTTCCTTTTGTTTTTTTTGAAACAGGGTCAGGGTTTCTCTGTGTAGCCCTGGCTGTCATGGAACTCACTCTGTAGACCAGGCTGGCCTCAGACTCACAGTTCTACCTGTCTCTGCCTCAGGGCATTAAAGGTGTGCTCCACCACCGTCCATTCCCACCTTAGTTTTTGAAACAGATATTCTGACTAAACTTGTTGCTCATTGATTTGGCGAGGGTGGCTGGTCAGTGTTTCTCCCCATTCTCTCAGAATTGAGGTTACAGAGTGCCATTGTTTTTATGTGAGTCATGTGGATCTGAATGGAGGGTTTTTTTTTTTTTTTTTTTCGTCTTTTTGGTTTGTTTTTTTTTGTGTGTTTTTTTTTTTTTTGTGTTTATTTTTACCCACTGAACAGTCTCCTGAGCTCCCAGCTCTTTCAATGGAAGTTTAAGCATTTATGTTTCTGAAATCATGGGGTCATATTTTCATCCTGAAACAACAAGCTGTGTTATAATACCTTCACGGTTATTATACATACATACCCTCGGTTTCTGTGTAGCCTGTAGTCCATGGTAATGCCACCCTAACTCTCACATGCATGAACCAGTGAAAATTAGTTGGGGACACAGGAGGAATCTCTTACATTCTGAATGACTCAAGTTTAGTGTTCTCTGTCTCTGTCTCTCTCCCCCTCTCTCTCCCTCTCCCTCTCTCTCTCTGTCATTACATTAGACTAAGGAGGCAACACCAGCCCTCTGAGATTGTTTCATTTTAGTTTTCTTTCTTCCTTTTTTTTTTTTTTAAGATTTATTTATTTTTGCCGGGCGGTGGTGGCGCACGCCTTTAATCCCAGCACCCGGGAGGCAGAGCCAGGTGGATCTCTGTGAGTTCGAGG